TACAAAAATAACTTGAGAAAATTTACCTTAGCGCTAACAGTCTCGCAAAGATAATTTAAACAGAAAAGTCTGACTATGTAAAGTAAAATCCAATATTGGAGACCAATTACAGTGAAAAAGTCACTTTGTGGTGGTATCTTTATGAAAAGATATACAATTATTTGTGTTATAATCATCACAGAGCCCATCATTTCCAAAGTCAGTTGTATTCCGAAGATTGCGTTTAATTCACGAGATATTCGACATAATTCTAAATGGAGTTGCCTGTCGATGAGTAGATTTTGTTGATATAAGCATAAAATCGTGTAAAAAAAGTGTGTCTCATATAAATTATACATATAATAAATGTTTTTCTATATTTTAAATGTACTACTTTAATCCTTTCTCTCTTTAAATTTTTATGTATCAAATTACATTAAAGTCCAAAATATGCACTTATACTTGTCAGTATGTATTATATATCGACGATTAACTTCAGATCTTCTCCATGTACATCTCAATTCATGTTCTTTTTTTATTAGTAAACATCTTATATGTTCGTTTATTTTTTCAAATCTGGTACCAATATACCTGTTCAAAGAATAACTCATTAAAAACACATTTATATTTCTTTGACTTTCCTAGATGTCTCATCTCACTTTAACCTGTTTATTATAAACATTTTTTGATGTACAAACCACAAAAACATCCAAAATAACACATCTACGGTCATAGTGACATAATGTACGTGATTCGTAATTAAGGGTACAATCATGCACCAATGATTGTCTATTGCGTCGTACCACCATTTCATGTCAGTCACATATCCAACAAAATTACATATAAAGTATACAATTATTATTCTTTTTACATATGTTTGCAATTTGTGATACATCTTTAATGTGCCAAGCTCTGCCAGTGTATCGTCTATAGCATCAAGTCTCCTCATAAGTTTCCGAAACCTCTGTGTAAACAATATTAACAATATTGTGGATATATAAAATATATTTGTTTTCTAATGATACAAAAAGTGATGCGCATAAAAATAAGACACCTAATTTTTCAGTCAATTAAAGTATATTAAATAAAGTGAAGTGTACTGTAGTTTGTACCTTATCGTAAAATACACTTAACATAACGGATGTAATGCAGCTGATAATGTTAATAACTGCAATGGTCATGTCATTGACTTGTATAAATAGTTTTTCCACCTTAAAAGCGGTCACTACGTAATAACATAGACACGTATACCCAATCCATATTGCCAAATTATAAATAATACTCAAATATACTTTTTCTTGGGAGTAAATATTTAAACAAACTATTGAAAAGACTTGAAATAAAGGACGTACAGCCTGTTGTACAGTAGTCGCCATAGTGATCACTCACTGAGTTTCTAACGCAAACTGACTGCGTGTCTGTTTGAACTCTTTCAGTAGACATATACTATTTATCAAATTAATGGAATTAATGGAATAACTCGTATAGCCGATGAAATAATAAAAACTCCGATATTTACACGCTGGATTTTACACTGCATATAGATTAAAAAAAATAAAAAGAATAAAAATAATAATTAACGCACAAACAGGTACACTATGAAGAAATTAAGTAAATAAACATAAAAAACATTTAACTGACTGTAATTTTTATTGACTCGTAATTAATATTTTACTGATTTAGGATTAAATAAAACATGTCAACTGATAAATCTATACATACCGAATTTGTTGAAAACAATTGGTAGTTAGTGAATAAGATATACCTGTCAATTTATTTAAATAATTTAGTTTTATTTCTCTCTCTCTCTCTCTCTCTCTTGTCTATTATAATATATAAATACATTTTATCTCGTTACGAATGTCAGCATAGCGAAGAAAATGCGTCAACTGATACATTACTTCTAGCTATTTTCTTAGCTTAAGAGTAATGTTTTAATATATACGTTTATTACATTGCATAGAATTTTATCGTTTTCTTTAATTTTATAAACCTATATATTGATATCTGTATACTAATGCACATAAAACAATTACTTAAGAAACTTTATCTTCACGCTAACAATCTCGCTTTAGATAATTTTAACAGAAAAGCCTGGCTATGTAAAGTAAAATCTAATATTGGAGACCAGTTATATTGATAAAGTGATTTTATGATGGTATTTTCATGAAAATATATATAATTGCCTCGCGAGACGATGATAATCGCTAGAAATACGGGAACAATTGAATATAGTTCCGCTCGACGTCGCGCGTCCGCCATGACTGTCTGCCAATTCGAATCGAGAATCGAAATATCGAATCGACGCGCGCGCGCATATAGTTCGGAATCAAATCAATCGGAAAGATAGCATTTTGATTCGCATACTTGATCGCGCTAAATGTGGACATTGCGGACGCGGGTCGCAAGTAACATATCTCACGGAATTAACCAATTACGGCGGACAAATTAGCCAGTCGACCAACGTGATTAGTCAATTCCGCAAGACCTGCCACGCGCGGGACACCTGCTGGGGTACGTTCAAAAATCCTACCTTAGTTACTAAAATGCTATATTTTACGTCACGTGTACTATAGTTTTTGGTTATCAAGGTAAGATTTTGGAACGTACCCCTGACAGCCAGTGGCTGTGGAGTGGCAGTGAAGATCGCAATGTAGCTGTACATTTTGTCGACATGACAGGTTTTTTAACCTCAAAAAATCACCATTAGCATGATTAGCATAATTACAAGAAGCGACACTTTTTTTTGATCAAACCTTTCGTTTTGCACAAAAACGTGGCAAATGAGAATAAGTTTGTCGATATTTGAAATGAGAAGTAAAACTATATAAGATAATTTGGTTTGAAGATGAAGGCGTTCCTGAGCGGTTTGCAGGATTTTGTGCAATTGAATAATAATTCTCCTTGAGTGTAATTAAACAAACGTTTCGACTTTAATTTATTTATCTAAAAATATTAGATATAGAATTGAATTAAAAGACTCACATCAGAAATGCTGCACATTAAATTACAAAAACACAGTTTAAATAAAATGCAAGACACAGAACATTTAGATGACTCGTATTTACCGCTTTTGGAAAATTAATCAATAACGTCTCGAAACATGTTTGAGGTAAACTTGCCTTTTACCACATGACACATTGAATTTCAATTTTATTCTCAGTACAACAGTTACCATTGACTAGTCAACATCTCTTACACACATGTCAACGATATAGATGTGAAAGTTTGTGGTCAAAGATCTGAAGCAACAATTACAATCTAATTTATTGTAATTTTGATTTTTGTCACTTGATGGACTTATTAATTTTTGTAAACATCTCATAATTTGTATCTAACACAATCCTTATATATATTTTAATTCAGACAACACTGAAGAAAACTTAAAAAACCAAACGTTTGTCTAATCACACTCAAGGAGAGTTATTATTCAATTGCACAAAATCCTGCAAACCGTTCGGGAATGCCTTTACCTTCAAATTATTTTTCTCCACCAAACTTGAACTTTATTTGAACTTTTATATAAAATAATTCAAGTTATGATGTTCACTTCCAGTAAATAATATTGAAAATCTATGTTTTACGTCACATATATTATAGATTTTCTCTTCTGAAAATGGCGATATTTACTGGCGGTGAATATCGAAACGCAGCCTCAATCTCGTTTTTTAGTGACAACAGAAATATGAAAAAATGATGCAAGATGGTAAGACATTTCTTCTTTTTTTCTCATCTTCTATGTTATAAAATTACTATTTTACAGATTAGACGTAGAATGGCGTATGGACTAGCTACAAGGTCCAATGAGCCATAAGGGCACCAGTAACCAGTAACTATTTTACAGATCGAGATTTGCATCGACTCGTTGGAATCCGCAAGAAATGCAATCGAAGGAGGCGCTAATAGACTGGAAATTTGTTCTGCTCTTTCAGAAGGCGGTTTAACACCAACTCCGGGCCTAGTTAAGCAAATAAGAAATTTTACATCGATTACGCTTTACGTTATGATTCGTATTCGTAACGGTGACTTCGTGTACACTTCTGAAGAAATTGAGGCTATGTTGTATGATCTGAAATTACTTAAGAATCAGAATGTAGATGGGTTCGTTTTCGGTGCGTTGACTTCTAATTGCGAGATCGACGTGACTGCATGCAAGAAAATCATTGCCGTTGCTCATCCTTTGCCAGTGACGTTCCACCGTGCCTTTGATCTGACAAACGATCCTTTAAAATCAATGGAAGTCCTTGCCAATCTTGGCTTTCGGAGAATTCTGACATCAGGACAGAAGAATACTGTTCTGGAAGGACTAGAGCTTATAAACATATTGGTGCAAAAAGCTCCAGAAAACTTTATTATTATGCCTGGGGCTGGTATCACAAGAGATAATATTCACAAGATTATGAATTCTGGTGCAAAGGAATTTCATGCATCAGCGAAGAAGAAAAAAGAAAACATTGGTAGTGCAAATAAACTTAGAATGGGCACAAGAGATGATGATTTTATTAATGTAACCGATAGAGAGTTAGTGAAAGAGTTAGTTGATATAATCAAAACTTCATCTTAAGTTTATTTTAACATACCATATAAACCATTTTATTTGCAGAATAAAACATCTGAAGTTAAACTTAAAACAATCTTAAACATAAAAATACAACTATAAATCTTAGCTATACTCAATGTGTCTCAATATATAAATGTATATATGAAAGACAAATGATTTAGTGAAAAATGTACATTTTCGTTCTGTAATACGTAAAATAAAAAACTTTATTCCGTACTGTCATGATTTTCTAGAATTTTTTTTATAACTAATGTATTTTTTTTTATCTATTATCGCATTCTGAAAGAATTATCGATAAATGATAAAGTAGATAAAAAATTAAGCTTTGTTGGTATGTTTATTTAGAAACAGATAAAAAGAATATAAAATTCTTTAGTAAAAAATCTTGAAATTATACATAATACATTATTTTATATTGTAAATATAAGATAAAAAAAATGTGTCGGTAAGTGTCGTCAATGACGACAGTGCCTTACCGGGTACATGTATTGCCATCCTTGTCTAGGGGAGTGCTAAACATCTCTCCTTTCATACAACACGATCATATTCGCTAGCGCCATGCTTATATATAAAGTGATGCGTTTTGGAGCGCTTCCGAGAAACATGTTTTTTTGCAAATAAATCGTTAATTATCGATTTTATTGTACAACCGTAAAAAGAAATATTCTTTATATACATGTGAATTGATATTTTCAAAATATACAAGAGTAAATTTAACAATTCTGTGAAATGTAGAAACAATATTTTTAATAAATAATACTTATTTTTAATAAAACTATAGAAATCTGTAAATATATTTTGCTTATTTATACAACAATATAAATATAACTTTTATTAATGCAAAACCAATAATAATATAAATATTAAACACAACAGCTAAAGTTAACAGAAAGGAAAGAAATATTGAATAACATTATAAATATAGAATAAAAAGTTTTAATAGAACAACAGGCTTTTAAGTTTTAATATAACTTTATTTCGTTTATAATATATTCTGTTAACGTTTTTAACAAATTGTCACTTTTTTATCCTTAAAATATTTTTAATTGTTATAGCGTATATTATCTCTGTACTCCCATAATCACAAATGTTACCACTGTCGAAAACAACTATAAAAAAAATAAAATAAATAACTTTAATAACACTTGTGTACCAAAATGTAAGAATTTTATAAAAAGCATGAAATATCTATAAATACAATAAATACAATTAATAGAAACATACATTGTTTAAAAACCCATAGCCAAATTCGAAAAGTCCCATTCCAGTAAATTTTAACTGATGATGTAGTACTTGTAACGTAAACTGATGAATCTATATACAAAATTATTTTAAAATTGTTAATTAATAAATTATTAATATTGTTAATTACTTTAAATAATTTAGATATGTTTTTTTCTCTATTTTAGTAAAATATATACGAACATATCTTACCTCGTTACGAATGTCAGCATAGCGAAGAAAATGAGTCAACTGATGAATTACTTCTATTTTCTTAGCCTAAGAGAGTAGTGTTTTCATATATATGTTTAATATATTGTATACAAGTATATTATTTCTTCAATTCTATATTCTAAACCTATATGTATTGATATATATATAAATATGTATTATTTCGCATACAAAAATAACTTGAGAAAATTTACCTTAGCGCTAACAGTCTCGCAAAGATAATTTAAACAGAAAAGTCTGACTATGTAAAGTAAAATCCAATA